GTACACGCAGGATGAATGTTCAGCGAGTAACGACTTGAATGCAGGCAGTAAAATGGGAATTGCGCATTTGGAGGACAACAATCCTTACCAACCGACAGCATGGCTTAGGTGTTATTTGACTGCTTTTTAACGAGAATGCGAGTCCCAGGAAGTAATTGAGAAGAAAAAAGCGATCACTGGGACAAGGATTCTATCCGTCTAACGTTTGGATTCCAGTGACTCAAACCCATCTTCAGAGACAGCACTGGATAGACGTAGTTCATGCACTCAAAGTTGCAGTATTTATAGGAGTCATATTTTGCGACGGGGCCTCTGTCCAGTAACAAGTACAATGAACTCATGGACCAATTTTCGGTGCTGACAATTGGTTTGGCCAAAGCAATCAGCCACTAAGAGAAGCGTTAGGCAAACCTTTCCAACGCCAGTGCCGGTGAGCCAGGGATCAAGAAAGCCTCACGTGATCAAATTTCGGCAGATAACGACCAGCGCGCCGGCCACCAAGCAGCTAGCGCACCAGGGGGGGGGGCTCGATGTAAGGAGAGCCGTTAATTGTCATAGGTATGCAGTAGCCTAGGAATTGTATCCGGCTACTCCCTGTGTCTGATTCTGTCTCTGAAGATGGGTTTGAACCGCTGGAATCCGAAACGTCAAGCGAATAATATTCTGTCAGAGCGATCGCGTCTACTTCTGCTAAAGTTTTGATGCCCGAAAAGGGTTTTGCTGCTTCAGTCAGTGGTACTGCCAGTTCCGTTGCTACAGACGGTTGGGCACGTGATCTACAGTATCACATCGGGCGAGCATCGAGCACTCTGTCGTGGAATCGCCTTAACTAGGTAGGCAAGTTAAGCGCGCCAGGCAGTCAAATTCTCAAGGTTGAGGGGTACATCTTCTTTTGAAGGAATGAGCACTTAATTGCTGCAGCCCTGTCTAGATGTAAAAACACGAGCTGGGTGCTGGATGCTGCGGTGCGAATTTTAGGTGTGACATCCGCCGAAATGCATAAATTATTGTCAACTACTTGGCACACGCGTACACATGCAGAGAGCATAGCTGACTTAACTCGTGACCTTTGCTTAAATCAAGGTAAAAATCAACTGGAAGCGGGTCCAAATGCAGCAAGCACAGTTCCTCATTAATATTAAACGATGTTTGGTTAAATTAACTGTTATACCCCGATCAAACGGGCGGAAAAAGAGAGAGAACCGATTTCTGGGAACAAGCACTTTATTAAAGGCCAAAAGAAACTAGCGGATTCTTTAGCTCGTGTAATCGAGTTTATTTATGGGGTCCTGGCCCCCCTGGAACAGTCTGTAGCGGCCGAAAACGTTGAGGTTGGCACACACGCCCTATGGAGTAATTCACCCGTAGTAGTTCTCTGGTCATGCAACACGAGACAAAGTTGCTATTCACCGCAGACAGAGACAGTAGCAGAAATGGGTACTTCGTGCATAGGGAGTTGCAGTATTTATAGGATACATTCGCTATGTTACATGCACACTTATGACCATTAACGGCTCTCCTATCGAGTGTAATTGCTTGCTTGTGCGCTAATTGCTTGATGGCCGGCGTGCGGGTCGTGACCTGCTGAACTTTAATCACACATGATGGTGGAATTGTACGTGATGATTGTTCGGCCATCCGGCTTCCTAGCGCTGAACTTAGACGACGGATTGGCCCGTGCGTTTACCAAGTGGTGTCTTGCTTTGGCGAAATTGATCTTCAGCACCGATTATAGATTTGGCAGGTCGTTGCACTTGTTTATGGACTGTGGAGCCCGTAAACAATGACTCAAATAATTTGCGACTCACGATTGTCACCTCTCGCGAGAATTTCGGCCTCATCAAATTTGAATGTGTGACCGGTTCTCATCGAATGAGTCGCAACACGCGAATCGGCGTAATTTCTCCGTACGCAGTTCGGCAGTTCGCATCTTGAGAAGTTTTCCAGTTTCTCCGACATAGTTGCTTTGTCCAGAACTTCACCAGATCCTATGGACGACCCCAGATGTTTCTTGTCGTGTCAGTGGTTTTTTTGGTTTAATTGTTTGCTGCATTGTGGTTGCTTTCAGTCGGTGTGCGAATCCAACTGCAAGTGGCGTTAGAAGGCGGCCGAAGGCCTCCGAGACGTGGGGTTGGTGCGATTATGTTGCTCACTTCGTTTGCGCATGCACCGGTTGCTGAAGTTGCGCGGGTTGCCATTTTCTCTGGTGAATACAAGTCTTGTCCCAGCAACCACATCTACGTCTTCTCACTTACTTCCTGGGGCTTACATGCTCGACTCTTTTGCCAGTGCAAGCATTCTTAGTCATAGAAGACGGGAAGGCTTTCTCTGGGACCGGTTGTTTATTACTCCGAAGTTTCGCACTCTCATGCGAGCCCATCGTCAAGGTATAAAAGATTTTACAACTCACTGCATATTAAGCTAATTTCTGCCGGGAATGACCTTCAGCTCTGCCATTGATTTGTTTGCACAAAGCCTGATGAACAGCTGGCAGATCGCTGTGCCTATTAA